GCCTATGCCCTAAAGAAGACAGACTCCTTAAAGGCCAAGTTGGGCAAGGCCGAAAAGGAGTTGGAAGCGGCTCCAATCCAGCTCACCTCCACCAGGTCAGAGCTGGACCAGGAGAGGACGGTCGTGGAGAAGCTGAGGGCGGACCACGCCATCGAGCTATCCGGCACCGTCAGCCAGGAGCGCAGGAAGGCAGTTCGGGAGTTCATCTCCTCCGAACAATTTTCCGTGGACGTCGTCCTCCTTAACGAGCCCATCCTTCAGGTCGGCTTCACGCGGGCACTGAACCAGGTGAAGGGACTCGGCCTGCCTAGTTTCGACTTGGCCACGTTCAAGGACTACAATCCTACCGCCGAGGAGAAGCTGGACTGGCTTTTCGACGGGTATTGCAAGGGGCATGCCCTGAAGGATCTGGTGTGCAGGAGCGATGTGGGAGCCGAGCTGGCGGAAATTCCCCTAGAGGAGGGTGAGGCTCCCGGCAGGGCTTCCGGGAAGGAGCCGGTGGGCTGAACTGTACTCTTTTTTTTTTTTTTTTTTTGAGCTAGGTAGGCTTTGTAATAGGTAGGTTTTCAATGCACATATGGAATGATATTGAATAAAACAACCTACTCCTAGCTTTCCCTTTTCGCTTGCGCCAAACTCTAGTAATCGAAGCGGCATGCCGACCTCGTGGGTCGAACATCAAACCGATTTACCCAAGTAGCGTGCCGGCCTCTCGGGTCGAGCACCTATCAAACTTTAAGCTAACAAATAAATTGTCAAGGACAACAAATTAGGGCACCATCAAACTGCCAAACTAATTTACCAGCCGAATTCTAACAACCGAATCGTCGTGCTGACCTCTTGGGCCGAGTACCGAGCCTTAAAACTTTAAGCCGTGCCGACCTCCTGGGTCGAACGTCGAACTCTCAAACTCTAAAGGTTTTTTATCCACTCACTGCCCCCGTTAAGTGTACTAGTATGGAATTAACAATCAGATAGCGTAACAATTCAAGACAAATGGTTTTGATAAACTTTGCAATGAAGGCTCGAAGTCGAACATTTATTTAGTTTGACCCGGAAGTGGATTCCGAAGAACAGGCAGCAGGATGTACTGGACCAACCTATCTTAAGAACAATCGCAAGTTCGAAAAGTGCCAAGTACGGGGTACCTCTACTCCATCTAATTTTGCGAGTTTACAGTACCCCGCTCGGCTTGTCTCCAGGACTTTGTACGACTTCTCCCAGTTCGGATCGAGTTTATTGGAACTATGAGTTCGGCTGACTGAATTCTTTTTTAAGACGAGGTCCCCCGGCTAGTACTGCGTGTCCCTCACCTTCGCGTTATGATAGCGTGCGAGCTGACTTTTGTACTAAGCTATCCGTATCGCCGCTTTCTCGCGTTTAGCCTCCAGCATGTCCAAGTTACACCGCAGTTCCTCTTCATTGGTTGCCACAATGAAGTTCTGTGTCCGAGAGGATGGGAGGCCGATCTCTGCCGGTACCACCGCTTCTGCCCCATAAGTCAGGGAGAAAGAGGTCCATGAGTGGCTGTCCTCGGCGTCGTTCGGTAAGCCCAGAAGACACTAGGAAGTTCATCTAGCCAGTTAGACTGGGCCAGTTCCAGCCTAGTCTTCAGTCCTTGCAGAATGGTTCGGTTAACGTTCTCTACCTGGCCGTTGGCCTGGGGATGACCGACCGACGTGAAGTGTTGGCTAATCCCGAACTCAGCGCACCAGCTCTTGAAGGGGTTTTCAGCGAACTGTCGCACATTGTCAGATATCAAGACATGCGGAATCCCGAAGCGGCAAACTATGTTCTTCCAGAAGAATTTCTGAACTGCTTTTCCAGAGATAGCGGCCAGGGGCTTCGCTTCCATCCACTTTGTGAAATAGTCGATTGCCACCACGAGGTGTTCATATCTCCTAGAAACTCGGGGAAAAGGCCCCACAAGATCTATTCCCCACTGGACAAAGGGCCAAGGACTGTGGATGGGAACCATCTCCTGAGTTGGCTGGTGACGCAGCGGGGCGTGCACCTGGCAAACTCGGCATTGCTGAACTAGCGCCGCGGCATCCCGAAACACTGAGGGCCAATAATAGCCTAGGAGCAGTCACTTTTTTGCTAAGACCCGGGATCCCACATGTACCGCGCATAAGCCTTCATGAACTTTTCGGAGGATGTAGTCGCTCTTCTCAGGAGTTACGCACTTTAGCCAGGGAAACAAATACGACCTCCTGTAGAGGGTTCCCCCAGCGTAGGCGTACTTGGTAGTCCTGAGTTGGAGCCGTCGGGCCTCGGTTTTGTCCCCAATTTTGTTCTCGGGGAGGACACCCGAGCTGAGAAAATCCATGAGGGGAGTTATCCAAGAGGTCAGACTGTCTATGGCCAAGACTTGGACCTGGTCGATGCTTTTTTGCTTGATTACCTCCACCAAGACTTCCTTGTTCAGGTGAGCAAACGAGGAGGACGCCAGTTTTGACAGAGCGTCCGCGCGCTTGTTCTGTGATCTCAGCACCTGTTCAATTTCGAAAACATCAAACAGAATTACCACCTCTCGTACCTTAGCCAAGTATCTTTTCATGATGTCCTCCTTGGCCTCGTACTCCCCGCGAACTTAGTGGACTATGAGTTGGGAGTCGCTCCGGATCTTTATCGCAGTTATACCCATCTGGTGGGCTACCCGCAATCCAGTCAATAGGGTCTCGTACTCTGCCTCATTGTTGGATGCCGGGAAGTCAAATCTGAGCGCATAGGTCAGCTCTTCTCCGGTGGGCGAGGTGAGCAGCAGGCCGGCTCCGCTCCCCTCCTTGCTCGAGACTCCGTCCACAAACAGTACCCACAGCTCTTCCGGCCGTACTTCCTCGGACGGGGAGCTTGACTCAGCCACGGACGAATCGGCCCCTTCAGTAAGGAAGTCCGCCAAGGCTTAAGCTTTGATGGCGGTGCGGGAATGGTAGCCAATGTCATGCTCGGCTAGCTCGACGGCCCATTTGGTCATCCGGCCCGAGACCTCCGGTTTCGTGAGTATTTGTCGTAAGGGCTGATCAGTCACGACAATGATACTGTGGGTCTGGAATTAAGGTTGGAGTTTCCGGGCGGCGTGCACCAGGGTAAGGACCAATTTTTTCGTCGGTGTGTACCGCGTTTCCGGCCCTTGTAAAGCACGGCTGACGTAATATATTGGCCTTTGAGCCCCCTTGTCTTCCCGCACCAAAATCGCGCTAACGGCCTTGTTGTAAGCGGACAAGTATAGGAATAGGGTTTCTCCCTACTCCGGGGCGGTCAAAGTGGGCAGTTCAGCCAAATATGCTTTTAGGTCGGTGAAGGTTTTCTGGCATTCCTCAATCCATTGGAAATCCTTAGGCGCTTTCAGGATTCGAAAGAAGGGTAGCGCCCTCACCGCGGAACGCGAGAGAAATCTATTCAGGGCGACCATCCTTCCCGTGAGCCGTTGGATTTCCTTTATGTTCCTCGGAGGGGCCATATCCATGATGGCTTGGAACTTATCCGGGTTGGCCCGGATCCCCTCTCGGGAGACCAGGAATCATAGGAACCTTCCCGACCTAACCCCGAAAGTACATTTCTTCGGGTTCAACCGCATCCGACTCTCCCATAGGATGTTCAAGATTTCCCTCAGGTCGGGAACGAGCTACCGGTCAGTTCAGCTCTTGACGATCATATCGTACACGTAGACCTCCATACTCCTGCCGATCTGGTTCCGGAACAATTTGTTGACCAGACGCTGGTAGGTAGTTCCAGCGTTTTTAAGCCCAAACGGCATTGTCCAGTAGCAGTACGTTCCCTCCTCAGTGATGAAGGAAGTTTTTTCCCGATTTTCTTCAGCCATTTCTATCTGGTGGTTTCCCTTGAAGGCATCCAGGAAGCACAAAACGTCAAAACCCACAGTAGAATCTACTAACCTGTCAATTCTCGGCAAGGGGAAGCAGTCCTTCGGGCAGGCTTTGTTGAGGTCTGTAAAACCTACGCACATCCTCCAAGATTGGTCTTCCTTCTTCACCAGGACCGGGTTGGCTAGCCAAGTCGGGTAATATACCTCCAGGATGATCTCGGATTCCAGCAGCTTGCCGACCTCCTTCTTGATCACCTCATTCCTCTTTGGGGCGAAACTCCTCTTCTTCTGTTTCACCGGCTTGAAGCGGGGATCTACGTTGAGGTGGTGGACGGCCAGATCAGTCGGAATCCCGGGCATGTCCTCAACCGTCCACGCGAAGACCCGGGAGTACTCCCTCAGCAGGGCCTTCAAATCCTCATTCTCCTCGGAAGGCAGCAACGCACAGATGCGGAGGATCCGGTCGGTCCGGTCCTCTCTTATGGGAAACTCCTCGATCTCATCCGGGGTGCCCAACTGTCGGGTCTCCTCCCCCCGGATGTAGGGCTCCAAGCTGGTCGTCTGGGTGACCACCTTCTCTTGTCCCCGGAGAATGGCTAAGTAGTAAGCTCGGGCCACTTCTGGATCTCCGTGTACCTCAGCTATCCCCCCGGGGTAGGGAATTTGACGCTGAGATGGAGCGAAGAAGGAATAGCGCGGAGGGCGTTCAAGGCGGGTCGACACAAGAACATATTATACGGGGATTGTTGCTTGACCACCACGAAATTGACGGGGATGGTCCGGCATTTGGGCGCCTGCCCTACCGTGACCACCAAGGTGATTATCCCCTACGGGTTGATGGGCGGCCCGGTGAAGCCCACCAGAGGTGTCCGAACCGGGGTCAACTGCCCATCTTTCAAGCCGAACTCTTTGAACACCCGGTAGAACAGGATGTCCACCGCACTTCCTTGGTCGACGTACACTTTCTTCACACGATAGTTGTTGGTTCCGACGTCTATCACGATGGCCTCGTGGTTTCTTGACGCCAGGGGAACCGCGTCCCTCGGTCCAAAGGTGATCTCTTCGTCCATGCGCAGGCGCTTCAGGGAGTCATCCCCCTCAGGGGGAGGCCACCTGTTTTTCCGAGCTGCGTTGCTGTCCCCTCCCGTGGGACCCCCAGCGATGGTGTTAATCACTCCGGCCAGGTTCTGAGTGTCCTGGTCGGGGGAGTGGCCCCGAGGAATATTACGCCGCTCAAGGCGGTCGCGACGCTGACCCTCGCCCATGTCTCTGCGGTAGGTACGTCCTGACTCCTGGCCTGGTCGACCTTGCCGTACAAATCGTCCCAGGAAGCCGGCTGGATCAGATCCTCGATCTCCTTCAGCAGGGTCCAGCACCCCTCCGTGTGATGCCCGACGTCACGGTGGAAGGCACAGTATCGATCCTGATTTCTCTTGTTCCGGGGTGTCCCCATCTTAGGCGGCCGTTCTCCTAGGCCATCCGCCTCCATAACGGCCAGGATCTGGGTTCTGGGCCGATTCAGGGGGGTGTACCCTTTTTTCCGAAGCGGCGGTTGAGCGGGGGCTTTCTCCTTTGAGAGTCGGTCAAAAATGTTCTTCCTGACTAGGCCGTCCTTGTTTTCGGGGGGATTTTCCCGTCCTCTCCATTTTCCGAGCTCCCGATCTGACTCTCTCTTCAGGCGTGCCGCCTCCTCTGCATTAGCGGCTGTGTGCGCCCTGGTTAAGAGTTCCTCCAGGTCTCCGGGAGGCTTCTCGGCCAGCTTGTAGAAGAGCTCCTCTGCCCTGAGCCCGTTCATGAAGGCGGCCATCACCACCTTTTCATCCTTGTCCCGGATTTGCAGGCTCTCCGTGTTGAAACGGGCCATGAAATTTCTCAGGGACTCGTCCGGCTTCTGCCTGATTGCCATCAGGTGAGCCGCGTTCTTCGAATAAGTCTTCGAAGAGACGAACTGGGCGACGAACTGCCTGGCCAGTTCGGAAAAACTTCGGATGGACCCCGGTGCCAGACCCTGAAACCAAAGCCGGGCCCTCCCCTTCAGAAACATGGGGAAGGTCTTGCAACGGATTTCATCCGCAACTGTTTGTAGACGCATGTGCATGAGGAAGACCGAAAGGTGGTCTTCCGGATCGGTTGAAGCGTCATACAACAAAATGTTCGGGATCTTGAATCTCCAGGGCAACGGGTAGTCCTCTATCCCCCGGGTAAAGGGTGAGACTGTGTAATTGTCCTCGTACAATTGCGGCCGCAAGATCTGTTCGAGTTCATCTCGGACCGGCTTCAACTAGGGAAGGTTGCGCGGCCAGCTCTTGACAGATCGATCGGGAGAGCGTACGGGTTCGTTCCGCGCAGGCTTCCACGGGGAAGGATTTCTCGGTCGGCCCCCAGCGGACCGGTCACGAGAATACCTCTCGCTATCCCCGACCACCGAGGCTCGTGGGCGAGGGGGAGTCCGCGGCCGTTTCCTCCTGGGGGGTTGGTCCCGTGACTCATCCTCCGAGGGAATGAGAGGTGATTCCTTCTCCTTCGCCTTGGAGGTTTGTGCGCCCCCGGGTTTCACCCCCCTCCTTCGCCTGTCGGATCATGTCTTCCAACATGGGGAGGTTCTCCGTCACGAACTGAAGGATCTGCTGCCTCCGTTCCCCTGAAAGGGTTGAGTTCCCAGCCTCCCGAGCCGCCTCGGTCTCCCTTCGCCGGGACCCCTCGCCGGCTCCAGGATCGGGGTTCTCCATGGTTCGCTTGGAGCTCGTTCTCGCCATCAACACAACTGCACTTACCTTTCGTTCCCACAGACGGCGCCAACTGAAGAAACGCTGAGCTTCCCTGGATCGAGCTGACCTACCGAGCTCGGCATGCTGGCGAGAAACGCCTATCCAAACCCTACAAAACAAACAAGAAAGGGTCTCTAGGGTGACTAGCGGGGGAGCCCCCAGGTGGTCCCCGAGGGCACTCCGACGGTCAAGTTAGTTTTCCGGTGAGTGGAATTCGTCGAGAGTAATACCGCTGGGAGTGTTTTGCCAATAGTGAGTGTACCTTGTGTAGTTGGTGTGTGTTACCATTTATACCTGCCTGAGAGTCCGACCTCCATACGTTTCGGGACCTGCCCGAAATAGTCTCAATCCCGCGCCGAGGGGGATTCCCCCCGCCCTTTGCGGGATTGTTCTCTAGAGCCCTGGGGAGCCCTAGCGGCGGTGTGCCCCAGGATGGTTACCATGGGCCTGGGGTCCAAGCCCAACTCTGGCCTTCCTGGGCTGCCACGTGTCTAGGCCTAGGACGGGGTCTCTGCACATACCAATATAAAGAAACTAGGAGTTGGATTGCTATAATATAAAGAGAGATCGGAGAGAGTAAAAATTTCATGACAAACATGTCGAGGGATAAGGTGATAAAATATGGTTTAAATTTTAATAGTTTATGCATAGATTTTAGGAAACTTTGGGGACCCGCTCCTTGCCAAACGTTTCTAACAAATTTGCTCAGCAGGGAAATTAAATGTTTGAAATGGTTTGATACCTAAACCATTGAGAACACTGAAGAAAAAGAAATAATATTAAGTGGATATGCTATGTTCTTGATTTCATTCTTTTACCTTTTTTTTTTTTGCCAAAATTGATGATTTGTCTTCTTCTAAGTCAGAAGCTTGGTACAAATTAAGACTGAAAACAGAAATCAGAAAAAGTCTATGGAAGTTTCTATAGTTGTCTAAAACATCCATGGGTCAAAAAGATACACCAGCTAACTACTAATCAGGTGTTATGACCCAATTTCAAGGTAAGAATTTTATAATAAATCCAACGTGACCAAAGGAAACATCCCTTGTAATACCGGCAATTATTCTTCTTTTTCTCTAGATAAGCGTTTTAAATTTGAGTATTTGATTGCCGAAACCTTTTGTCACTGACAAAGTTGTTTACCTTTCTTCTTCCCTTTTTTTTTCCCTCTTAGGGTATGTAGTTAAGGTTCTTTACTTTTCTTTTTTTTTTAAAGTATGTGGCTAATATGAGTGGATGTAAAATTTTGCATGCACAGAGATAGATCTTTTAAATTGATTTTCGGAGATGATCCTCATAAACAAATAATACTCATAGAACAGTCTGCTGGAACACTTTTGAATATGATACTCATAAACAAAGAATATCATGTTTTTAGCTGATTTGTTTTTTTGCTTGATGTCGTTCATCTTATCTTTTTCTTGTATTTGGGAAAAGAAAATGTATTCTGGACTTTAAATATGATTTATCTTTCTTCTCCTCTCCTCCCTTCCCTTGCAAATCCCCTTTCTATTCACAAATGGTTTCTGTATTAGACAAGCAACAATTTATGCTTCTAGGTTTTTTCCAGCAATCAAACTTACTTTCTACATGAGACTGAGAGTAAAGGTGGCAATTTGTCCCAAATCCTAATGGGTTATTCATGTCCAAAGGAATTTTGGACGAGATGGGTATTATAATTTTGATATTGGATTTGAAATAAGACTAATCCCAATTATACCCATTTGGGTACCCATTGGACCCAAATGTCTCATCAAAAAATTTAATTTATCCAAAAATTCATCTCTTCCAAAAGATTAAATTTTGGGAAATACTACTATTTTGTCCAAGCTCAAGCTGGAATAGTTGTCGATGACATTCCCACAATTGGTATACTGTTAATTTGTTGACTAGTTTAATCCAAGGAGAAGATATGTTCATTCTTACCAAAATGTTATGTCTTTTTTTAAGCAAGCAACTGTTCATCATTCTAAAGTGTAAATCAATGCTATTCAGGCTCAGTGGACTAATTTGATACCCAATGTTGCTACTTGCTGGCTCAAAGATCATTTTTTATGGTGGTTTATTTTTTTTCCCTGTATATACCTACCATACAGATCTACAGATGAACAGAAACTATTCACACTAATTTGATTATCGGCCACTGATATGTTCTATTCAGCTCTGTTCATTGTGATCTACTTGATTAACATAGCCTACTGGTTGCATATGTGGAGTCATCCCAACATTTTGTTGAATACTAATAGTGATTTTTTTTCAAAAAATACCAGGATTTAATGTGGAGACCCTAGAGTACAAGAACATGAGGTTTACTGTCTGGGACTTTGGTGGTCAAAACATTGTAGGTGACATGGTTTTGCCGGAAATTGCATTATATTCACCATTTGATGAAAAAATGAATTTAGGAAAAATATAAATTCAAAAGATCAAACAAAATTTAATAAATCAAAAATAAAGTTATATAAAAAATAAAAAAAGAATTAAAGGAAAAAATATAGAAAATAGATTTGCGTATTAGGTGCGATCAATCTAAACCCATGTCAAAGTGATCCCACCCAAATTAGTCCCAAAACACATATGAGTAAGGTTGGGATCAAAATATTTTCCCTAGAAGTCATTTTCCCGGAAAATCACTTCCTTCCCCATAATTTCCAGTGTTTGGTTATTTAGTGAAAATATTTTCCAAATTCCTTTTTTCATCATTTTCTGGTGTTTGGTTTGTCAGTGAAAATATTTTCTGATATGTTTGTTGATATGTTGCAAGTGTTTTTCTACTTTCAAAACATTCATTTTATTACAAGTTATTTTTAGTTTCTATCCATTATAATCATATTATCATTTTTATAAAATATTTATTCATATTACACCATGAATTCTTAAATGGAATTATTAATGATACTAATTAATTGACTTTTTATCTTCCTTTTAAGGGGAGAAGAGTCTTTTTTATCAAATTGGATGCCGCAACATTTTTTTTGTTGTTTCAAATCAGTGACCCTAGAAAAAATTAAATAACCCCTGCACTAGAGGTAACATCTTTCGTGAAATGAACTAAATAAAACACATTTTTTGGTTTTTTTTTCATTATTGCATTGGAGTTGGGAAAAAAGAGTTAAAAGTCAAGAAAACCTAACTAAACACTATTCTTTATTGGTATAGTATCATGTCATTATGTTGTACCTTTGAAAAAGCAGGGAAAATGAAAAATTGAAACCAAAGATGCCCAAAGAAAAATGAAAGCTTTTCTTGTCTCCATTTTCCATCACTTAGACCTCCTACTTCAAAACGGCCATTTTAATTTCAATTTGGTAGGTGCGCTTCTAAGTACTAGCTAGTAAAGAAAAGAAAATTACTGCTGCTACAACTTTTTAATAATTACTGTGCTCTAGTACAAATCCTTTTTTTTTTTTTTTGGGATAGATAACAACTATTGAGTACCTTTTATTCATTGGCCTTTAAATACCAATTGTCAGAGCGGCTTATGACCTGATCCGCTGATCAGAAGACATTAGAAAACTCATGTCAACTTTATTTGCTGTTTCTGCTTTTCTTTTAAGTTTTTTCTCCTTTCACTTTTCACCCCGGTTTAATTTCAACGAGTGAGGACATCATTTCATTCCGGATTTAAATATTGTCAGTTTTTATTGTGAAGTTCTCTTTTCATGCCTTTGCAAAGTAATCAAATGTTGTAAACTACTTTGCTGCTGTCCTCATATGGGCTTCTGCTGTATGCACTTTTGCAGCTGCAGTGGTGGATAAATTTTGGGAATTTCCTGAATCCTGCCTACTGCCAAAAGATCATAATGTTTGGCATGTGATAAGAGCTACAAAGACATAATCTGCATTCCTCTACTTCAACAGACCGGTAAAACATTGACACCATATCAGTCCCAGCCCCAAAGCTGTGAAAGCTGTGTGAAAGAAAAATAACTTCAGAATGATAGATAAGGAAGTTATTTTCCTTCTCTCGGTGTATGTTCTTTTCCATCGAAAATCATTTTTCCAAATTAATTAACAACCAAACAACGGAAAATGTGGAAAATGTTTTCTGGAAAACATTTTCCACCCAAACAAACAGACCCAGTTTTGAGATTTATCTAAAACTAGGCAGGGCAGGCTAACAGAAATTAGGCAGGGCCACACTCAAAAATTACTGGTCTTTGGTGAAGAAAACTTAGATTTGTGATGGCTCCATCACATAAGGACTATATTGATTAAAGAAAAAATAGTTGGAAAATTTAAATTGATCAAAATGACAAGGGAGCAATTCACCTTTAATAAAAAAAAAAAATAGTTGATGGACTATTTTGATCATTTGCTCAAG